GTTGCTTTTATTGATCAGCTCTTTTTATTTATTTACTGTTCATATATATATATATATATATATATATATATATTTTTTTTCTTTTCGTTTTCATTTTTATATTCACATAGGCCTACATTTTATTTCTTCTTATATATAGTTTTATATATGTTTATGATTTTCACCATAGTATAATTTTCCCGCGTTTTTATTTGACTGCTGTCAAGCTTGTAGCTTGGCATACGCCCTTAAGGCTATTGTTCTTCTTTTTTCTATTATAGCGTTGCTTTACGTCTTATGTTGCTTTGTCTTACGTCCGTTATATTTGTATATATAGTTTTTTCTTTTTTTATGCTATACACCTGATGAAGGCCTATGGCCGAAAACGTTTGTGAATTTTCTGTATTAAATTTGGCAAATATATACCTTGTTCCTGAGTTTTATTTGATATATATCTACACTTTGCCAAGCAGCTACGCCTGATTTTCCTGTTATATATATATATATACATATATAATAAAATAATATAGAAAATGTGTAACATTATTAAAGTATTAACATTTATTTAAAAAAAACCCAATATTTCAAACTGTACTTAGGTCTTTATCAAGGTACATGAATAAAATAGTAAAAAGTACACATAATCACTGTAGTTGGAGGAGTAATAAACAATGCGTACTCTAATCAGAGTAATTAAAGATTGCAAAAAGCCGGCTAAACAATGTAAGATAGATACTGATAAATAGAGTATACACATTATACACATATTGTAAAGTGAAGGGAGAGTTGTTATTACAGTATGTCGACTACATAATAAAAAAACATTACTGTATATGTTATATAAATGTTTATTTTGCAGTCGACATACTGTGGGAGCAGTATGTTTTTTGAATTAAAGTTACTTTTTTTTCAGGGGCATATGGTCAATTGGTGTCAACATCTGACCAGGTGGCTAAAGAAGGGGATAATGAAGTAGTAATCTCATGTACCTATTCAAATGATGCTTCTGAAATATTAAACATGAAATGGGATGAAGTGAATAAAGATGGGGCCATTATAACTTCCGGTATTGTAAATGATATCCAGTCAGTCAATGGACGATACGCCCTTAGAACAAAATATGGCAAGGCTGATCTGGTTATCTCAAAACCTATAAGAAATGATAATCAAAGAAAATTTCTATGTGAGATCCAACTATTTAGCGGCAAGTACATCTACCCAGACCATCCTTCCAACCTCACTGTTTATTGTAAGTATGACAGAGTGCATCTCAAAATTAGCATTCTACATTACATTTCATTTTTATGTTTATTTTCCACTAAAGTTGGAGATAAGTTTTAATGAGAAAAGACAAAAAGAAAGAGTTCTAACAGCTCTAATAACTTCTTAATTCATTTGTTACTACTGCAAAATAATAAGTCCCAAAAAAAAAAAAAAAAAAAAAAAAAAAAAAAAAAAAGATTATCACCACATCTGCAAAACTTTTGTCTATTTTGTTTGTTCTTTCTAACTTTGTTGATTTATTACATTTGTAATGTTATCCATATAAGGTTTGCTTTGCAGCACCTAGGACTTTTAGCTGTACTGTTATAAAGTTCTTAATAGACGCATGTTTGTGTTTCAAACGCAAGTTTGTTGAGTTTCGAACTCCATTCATTTTCCTATAGGGCGTCCCCTAATTTGTGGTAGTAGTACACATGCATGCACCTCCACCGGATGTACTCGCTCTTACATGGTTAAGCGCCAGACGATAACAGGTTTGCCATTTGGCCTTTTTGACGGCCACGGCCACATTCCTCAAATCTGGCCGTATAAAAATTTGCCTAGCCGTAGCATTTGAAAAGTCACGGCCAAACATATGCAAATTTATTGAACAGCGAAAATTGAATAAAAAAAACTCTGCGCATGCTCTACTGGTCGTTTGTCACGAAATTATTTTCTCTACAAAGACAAAATTTTAACAACTGAGGGCGCAAGATCGTCGGAAAAGTACGCTATTGACAAAAGACAGGCAGTTAGTCACGGTTCTCTTTGAAGATTCAGTACACCGCGCTTCGCTCATTGGCTGTAGATAAGTAGATAAATGTGTTGTGACTCCTTCTAAATAACAACTCCCTGGTATAACATTAAAACATATACCGCAGTTTGTTTTTTTTTACCTCTGCTCGAATAAATGTTGACTTTTTTAAACTCCTCAAACTTGTTTATTTGTACAATTTAATGTAAATTAATTTATTAAAAAGCCTTTGTAAATGTTTCTGCATAAACTCTCAGCAGTTTGACACCTTATCCGTCTCACCACTGAGTTACGACAGTATTACATTACCGGTACTGTTTTTAAACTCCTCAAACTTGTTTATTTGTACAATTTAATGTAAATTAATTTATTAAAAAGCCTTTTTAAATGTTTCTGCATAAAATCTCAGCAGTTTGACACCTTATCCGTCTCGCTACTGAGTTACGACAGTCATACATTACTGGTTTTTAACCATGGCCAGGATTAGACAAACCACAAAAAAAGGCTTAAATGAAAGCAAGAAGTAATAGGAGCGGTTATGAACTTCTATATTTCGTGTAAATACTTGGGTTAACGTATGCCCGGAGTTAAATACGCCTACCCAGTTCTGAACATAGTGTATATCTGTGTTAATCATTTTTAATGCAACTGCCAATTTACTAAAACCTTTAATCTTATTTAAACTTGGTAATGTACGCAAGAGCATAACAAGAAGTAAAAAGTATGTTTAACTTGAAATAACATTAAACTAAACTTTGTTACTCATTAAAATGATTGACTGAGCCTATATATATTGGAAATAAGACAATATAAAGCTTAAAAAAACCCCTTTATTTTTTATTGGTAGGCATTAATAGAGAATACCGTGAGGTACTTGGAAGTATTGAGAATTTGTTTTTCTTTTCAGACCTAGATGAGCCTGTTCTCCGTTCATCAGCAAATAGTGTCTTTGAAGATCAGTTAGTGATTTTGAACTGTAGTAAACCTGATGGTGACCCGGTCCCTAATTATATCACATGGTATAAAGATGGAAAAGCACTCAACACCAAAGACACCAGCAGATTTGCTACAAGTGAAGATGAACATAAAATACGCATTGACCCGGCAACTCGAACTGATGGTGGCTTGTATACGTGTAAAGCTGAAAGTGATATATTTAGAGGGAATGATAGCAAAACTAGTAATCAAATTGACCTGAAAGTGATATGTAAGTATTTATTTAATTATTTTCAGTATTTAATCTATATACAATGAATTTTGATTTTTGGAATTATCACTACTCTATATCAGCAAAAATCTTTTTTAAACTTTTTATTGTTGAAAGTGAATAAATAAATATTTAAAAAAAAGAAGAAGCTACTTTTAACTTTAGAGTTTACTCAGTAAGGGATGCCACGGAGATTTTCCATTAATGAAAATGACATAACATATCTCTTTTAATAAACTGAAAGTTACACTAACATGCCTTTCATTGTTTTATTTCATTATTAATCTTTAAATATTTGAATATTTTAACGGCTAGACCCCAAGGCTTGTTCGGACATGTTTTATTACATTGTTTTGCAAACCAAACTTCGTAGTCCAGACAGGGGGTTGGTATAGGGATAGTGGGCTAAGTTTAACTCCAGATCTAACGGGCCAAAAATAATCGTTGGTTTGTAAGCAATTTGTTATACTTCATGGGCATGTAAACGCGGCAAAGCCTCCGGAAGCTCCAACAATTTTAATACTTGGAGTGCTTATTTAGCGACCCAACTTTACAGTCTGGTATTTTGTAGAAATTACATGGGATATTTCTGACAAACCGTTTTTAGAGTAAGTAAGATCTCTCCATCTTTCTCTCTTATATGGAACCTGCAACCGCAACTGGCGCCACCCGCTTCGAAACATCCCTTAATTTCATTCATCGCAAACTATATTTTTTAGACTGACAAGATTTTAAATGGCACGATGGGTAGTGAGCATGATATGTAGCATAGTTGTCGAATAGTTGCATAGGCCTAAGTAGGTTTTATGTATTTACATTTAAGAACTATAGCTTCTCCCACTCTTTAATTGACCTATGAGTATGATAGCGTGTCAGTATCTTATGATAGTGTGTCAGTATCAGTATTATTATTTTATTGTACCAGCATGGTTGCAATTTTAAAAACATTTAATAACATTTTTTTAATTCCATAAAATGTTGTATAGTAGCAATTTACAGCATTCATTTTGAAAGAATCATTTTCATACTTTTTTTTTCAATCATAAAGCGCGCCACCAACGTTATATTGCCAGGTAAAAGTATGTGCGACACAGTCAGCAAAAATGCTGTTGCTACTTCAAATCGGTAGCAAAGGTTTCTGCAGAAGTTAATGAGAGATAGGATGGACGAGTCTTTCCGTATGAAGTGCATATTGAGCAAAATGTTTCTTTTGCTGACATTTTGAAGCGTTTCTCAAACAGGCAAATCCAGGCCTAGGTTAGCCTATACCTAGCTAGGCCTAGGCCTACAGTACATGACAAGGTCCAGCAGGAAACGTGCTCGATGGCAGTTAGTGTAGGCTTAGGCCTAGGCAGGATCGTTTAGGCCTCCCCGAACAAATTCGACTGCGATGTAGGCCTATGTTCTTAGTCAACCTCACTATAATACCTCCATGGTCAATTCGATTCATTGAATGAATACTAAATAGGCCTATCCTATTCTGATAATTACAGTATATGATAAATATGCATATTGACTTAAAAATTATATAAAGACTGGGAAGGGAAGTCTATTCTACACTAGGACCTACTTACTATGTGGTTTAAAATAAATTAAAATTTTTTCCTCAAAAAAAAAAATTGAATAGGCCTACTGTACCATGAATGTACATAGCCTAGGCCTACTCACACTATCTATTGTTTTGCCGTTAAGAAGCAGGTCTCTTAACTTCGCAATCTCCAATCATTGACAAATATACATTGGGCCTAAACCAAGTTTATTTTGTAGTGTATTTTGCTTTGGCTTTTTGTTAATAAATTTTTTTATCTATGTTAAATTTGTGATTAAGTAATTCATTTAAAGGCTTCTTGTCATATTTTAGTTAAAACAAGTTTTATTAGGATGCGTGCAGAAAGAATATTGATATGCGGAAAAGTAAAATTAACCACCCCCCCTCCCAATTTTTTTTTTTTTTGAGGTGTGACTCTAAACAATGCAATGCATCATTTTGAGATCTAGTCGCTTGTATACTTGCTCATTAGGTGTTGCTTTACTTTATTTCAAAAGGGAAAAAAGTCGCTGCTTGTTACCATACTAAAAATTGGCAAGTCCAATAGTTTCAAATTTGGCAAAATGCAATGAATGAATGTGGTGACTGTTAATTATTGCATTTCCCAAATTTGTGTTTTGCGTACAAAAGAACGTACACACCCGCAGGGTTCTAGTTTTTAATAATTGATGAGAGAGGGACTGATTTTATTTGCCAAAAATATTGTAAATATTGTATAAAAACTGGTTTAATTTTATGGTTTTTTAAAGAAAATGTATTTTCAGTCACAAAATTTAGTTGAAATTGTAAAGATAGTAAGCGATGGACCATGTTGGTTTTTGTACGTGTGTAAATATGCTAATTGCTCATTTGCATATTTATTATTTCATTAATCAGGTAAATTATGCTAGTTACCATGATAAATAAGTTAGTTACGTATGATTGCTTTCAAACTTTGCAGAATGCAAGATGGTGTAATAATGTGATGGAGCCTATTGTTTTTGTTATGTGTATGAATATGCTAATTCATTTACATAATTAACATTTCACAAAATAATCAGTAAATTGACATTAAATACTATAATAATTTCCATAAAAGATTTAAAATTTAGCTGAAATTGTAAGCATTGTAAGTGATGGAGCCTATTTGTTTGGGTTGTACGTGTGTTAATACAGTATATGCTAATTGCTCATTTGCATGTTCAATATGTCACTAGTCAGAAAATGTGTGCTAGTTACCACGATAAATAAATTTTGGTAAGGCTTATTTGTTTCAAACTTTGCAAAATGCAATATTGTAATAAAGATAAAGTGCCTCAGCTCTTTTTTTAATTTTTGGTACATAAGTGAATATGCTATTAGCTTATTTGGATAATTAATATCAGGAAATTTTTCATAAGTCTTATTAAAAAAAAAAAATTGTAAAATTTCTTCATGTTAAAGTCACAGTTGTAGTACATTTTTTGTATTAAATTGTGATTGGTTTCAAACTCCTAATTATCAATTGTCAGAGAAAATTACACCTTGGGAAGGCTATGCTGTTACAATGTAAAAGGATCATTTCTAGTTCATGTATGTATAACATAGTTTTGGGATTATATTTGTACTTTGATAAAATACAATTATTTTTACATAAAATATAAACAGTTTTCTCCTCCAAAATGTATACTGTCTTAAAATTTGTCGTGGTGACGTCATTATTCCGCTAACTCTTTTAACGAGAGTGAAGATTAACTATTTGCCAAGTTATTGTTACATTTCATATCTGTAACATTTAAAAATGTCCAAAAACATAAATATATTTTCCAACCCCAATCTAAATTTATCTAAAATATGGTATTTTAGGCAAAAAGTTCATAAACTGTGCTAAAAAAATTGCCCAAGCCCTAGGAATAGAGATTTTTCTGAGACACTGTGTGATGTTTGTGATATACTTCATCAGAAAAACCAAAAAATTAATTTTTACTTACTGTCTTCTTGCTAATATTTCTATTGCGGCTAAGCAAATACAGTACCAACAATTTTTAACAAGCTTTACCAAGAGCATTGCTCCATCACCTCCTTCTAGAAAAATATATATAACTATGATTTAACAAATCAATTTTTATCATAATATGTATATATTTTGGTATCCTCTTCAAATGTTTTTAAATATTGTTTGTGAATTTTTAATGCATTTTTACTTAATTTTAATGGTTATTGATTATAAATTGTGAGCAATTTAGCCTTGGCTACAATTCACTTTTTGTCAGTTTCTTTCCTCTTTTTGTGTTGTGTTGAATAAATGTACCACCATGAATGTATGCATGAAAGTTTTAAGCTTCCATTAATCAAAACAAACAGACCTGAATTTGTTGCTTTTAGGAAGTGTAATTGATATTATAATAATATTTGTATTTTATTATAAGTATCTTTCTGCATCTAGAAAATTTCAATTTGAGCCTACTAATTGCATATACAAAAAGGATTGTATCTGGTATGTGGAAATGTAAATGTATTGAATTTCACTGACAACAGCTATTGAAGATATCATTTTTTTAACCGACGTATCAAACAAATTATTTACATGTTTTCAAAATATTAGTTATTTCTATTAAATGCATCATAATTATACAAGGTAATCCTGACCATTTACAGACCTAGATGATCCTGTACTCAATACTTCAGCAAGCAGTGCCTCTGAAGGGAAATCAGTAATCTTGACCTGTAGGAAACCTGATGGTTATCCAGTCCCTAGTATCTCATGGTATAAAGATGGACAAACATTCGACACCACAGACACCACTAGATTTATTACAAGTGAAGAAGCAATAATCATTAAATCTGCAACTGCAGATGACGGTGGCAACTATATGTGTAAAGCTGTAAGTGATGAAAAAGATGGTAAACCCAGTAATACAATTCCCTTGAAAATAAAGCGATACGGTAAGTTCTGTTGTTTTGAAAAATTACTCGTACCCATGTCTTCTCTTATTAATTGATATTGTACACAGAAGCAGTAAATAAAAGTCCCGATCATCCAACAACAAGGCAAGAAAAATTCACTACTTTACCGCAGATAAATCCATGTTGTATTTTGTTTTACTATACCTCATAAATATACCTCATTAATTATTCATAAACATAGTTTGCGCAAGTGCATTTTTCAAGTCTGTCAGCCTGGTTTGATCATCTGCTCTGTACATCGCGAATCTGTCCTATTATTAAAATTTTATAAAACGACACGACGAATTAATGTTTATGGCCTCGGAATTCAGACCTTTTATTGTCCTTTATTGGAATCAATACAAAAATATAACATGTAATTGGTAGTAGATTTTGAATTTTAATATATTTACATTTACTGCCAGTCTAAAAATCGAAATACTCGATGCTGATATATTAACGATTTAGATTCCATAACATATTTAATGATGCCAACATTTTGGTGCGTATCACCTGAATATTGATCAGAGATAAGTAATACTAAACCCAAAACCCTGTCAATATGCTGCTTTGAAGCGTAGGAAGTATCACTCGGCAATCACTATATCCTCGTCGCCTATGTAATATCTCTAGCAGTGTAGCAATGTATTCTAGAAAAAATACAATATCAACTGACTATTACATTCTGTTATGTGAACCTGGCATGGAATCCCGGACCACAACCAAATTCCCAGGTCTTGAATTTTGATTTTTCAACAATATTGCATAATTTATTTATTTAAAATGTATAATTCAATTGAAATCTTTATACAGTAAGTTTTTTTTTTCTATAAGATACATCAAGAATTCCATGGTATGTGATTCTCATTATGGCAGTTGTTTCTTTACTTATGCTGTGGATAATCTTGTTGCTCTGTAAGTTTTTCATTGTTACCCACAAGGCAAATAAATACTATTTGCAAATTTACAGATTTAAAACAACGACTAAAAATAGGTAACATGTCGGGGTAGAAAATATATGTCTAAGGAGATTTTTGTATGATCGGAAAGAAATGCGTGAAAGGAAAGAGGGAAGAAGGAGGTGAGGGAGGGGAAATAGAGTGTTTATCCAGTCCCCGACCGAGTTAGATTTTCTCGCAATTCACATTGGCGGATCTGGCAGATAGGGGTCCTGACCCCCCTTCTTTGGGCAAAAAAAGATAAACAAAAAAGACTATGACCCATGAGCTTATGTTTTTTTTTTTTTTTGTTGCAATAAGAAAATTTAGAAGTCGGTAAAGCTCATTTCCTGCCATCTAGGAATCAACAGGGTGAAGCCTTGAATTTTGAAGAACATAAAAGTCATTAAAAGACACGTCATATGTCGGAAAAGCTCATTTTCCACCAATTAGAAATCAACATTTTCCCGAGGAGAACCTGAACCCACCTTTTAAGGTTCATTGATTCATGGAATTATTTTCAAGGGAGGCGGGGGGGGGGGGGGACCTTGAATTTTGAAGGATCAAAATTTTCGGGGGAAGGACCCCCTCCCCTTCCCCTTTTTTGTGACTTATCAATTCATATAATAAGAATACGTGTGCAATTACTCTTTTTTTATGTATGTATGCACACATAAGGGATATTTACTGTAGGAATCAGAAAAATTTGCCTGACTGTTTTCAAGATGGAAAAACCTTGAATTTGGAAGGACTTTAAAGTCCTTAAGTCATTAATAGACACCTACAGTAGCTCAAAGTCGGGAAACCTCATTTCCCGCCATCTAAGAATACAAATTTTCCCAGGGGAGGAACCCCCCCCTCCTTTTAGGGTTTTTGGGAAATATGTTGGCGCCACCCCCTAAATTTGAACCCATCCATATTTCCATTCATCTTACTACTGGTGCCCCCACTTTGGAAAAGTTCGTCGGCCCTGGATAAAAGTTTAAAACGTATTGCTTTAAAATCATTATTGTATTTCAATGAAGAAAATTGTATTCAGAAGTGTCGGAGGAGGATTCATTTGTATTGATTGTATAGAACGGTAAAAATATGCTTATGTGTATATAAATAAAAATATATATTTTGTGTAAAACACAGTTTGGAAATCTGCTTATGTTTACAATGGAATATACAAATTTATTTGCAGACTTTATATTTCGGAAGAGCCTTGAAGTCACAGAAGTGATAAGTTATGATAATTCAAAAGAAATATTTACAAAATATCGTCCTAGTATTGCAAGGTTTGAGAAGGTCCAATGGGATCTTATAGTCGACAGTAAAAAAATTCCCAAAGGGGAGGGCAATCCTCCTACGCTGTGCAGTAGTACTACATATTTCTTCAAGTATGTTCTCCGATGCTGTTTCTACTTTTGTGGAATCTGTTGTAATGAATACTCTACAAACTGTAAGTTACTTTACATAAATATCTCAAACAATGATCAATAGATCTGAATAGAACTTCCTAGAATACTTTTTCATAGCCTGTTTCAACCACACACAAAAATGTTAGCATTTTTAAACATGCATAGAAACTTGTTACCAAATTGTAGCACAAAAATCCTTGACAAAATTATTATCGCATTTGCAGGTATGAAAGAAGTTGGTTAATATGTCTTTTGGGATGATACAGGGAGGTTTTTGGTGAATTTTTGACCATCTCCTCCTTTTAAACTCTAAAATAGCGCACTTCAAAGATTAAAATCTTTAAAGCGTGCTATTTTAGAATTTTTGAATCTAAAAAGAGTAAGGAATTTTATACAGACGTTGGTAACAGTGGAAATGCTCATTAAAATGAAACTGTCAGAAAATAAAAGTAACCATATATTTATTTATTTGTTTTCAATGAAAATTTGTAAACAAACAATACCTGGAGCAGCGAGATAGGAACATATTCATCTTGACTAATGGCCACAAATTATCATCCTCTTTAACTAGACTACACGCCTATCAAATTATGTCCAATCTTTGATTTGTAAATTGCATTGTGTACAAGTGTCTATGCGCCAACAAATAGGAGTGCTCAGAAAATACAAAAACAAAATTGTGGTGTTTTATTGTAACCATGAAAAAAGCTGCACCTCTTCTTGCATTATTTTGGCAATTTTTGTAATATAGTAAAAGTTGACACTTGTTGGTGACGATTTTTGAGGGGGAGTGAACGCCTGTTCTGGAGTAAGTGGACTGTAATATTTGCAGTATGTACCCACTACCCACATAGTGGTGGTGCCAGAGATGGGGATTGGTGTTATTGGATTATTTTTCTCTTTCAAATTTGGGCATAATTACATTTAAAACAGCTTCAAATCTTCTCATACTTGCCAATTTTCTCTAGGCCCTAGGACTCCTTTATTTTGTTTGTTACCTTGCCAAATAATTTTACTGCCCTAAAAGTATGTCTTACAATTGAGCAACTCTAGCTCTTCAATGACTTTATACATGATTTATTAGGTAACTTTATTTCATAAATTTTTAGGCTTATTTCATTTATTATTTTAGCATTAATATTCTTATATTTAAATGTTTAACTTCATTGTATTATTTTACAGTTTTTGTTCTTGTACATGACATACAATTTTTATAACAATGAAGTCAAGCAGTCTATATTGTTATTATCGCAATATACTAACTTTTCATACCTCTTGCTTTCATGATGGAAGGGAAACATACTAAGACAAAGACATTTACCACAAAGTGAGTTATTGTATTTGATAATGTGTATATGCAACAGCAGATACATGCTTATTTTTAGCATTATACTCTTTTAGTATTTTGTTTAATTTTGCATAATAATAAAACATACAAAATTAAAAGTATAACATTTTTTTTTTATTTTAAAAGTATTAAATATAAAGAATTAACATTAAAATACACATTGAAAACTTTAGCACAAGTACAACTTTACAAAACAAATAAGGAAAGGAAAGAAAGCAGTACAACAAAATCGTAGTAAAGATCACCCATGTGGTCAACCTTATGTTAGTTGATTTTTTAACAAGACCAGACATTGAATTATGATAAACACACAACGTCCTGAACCAAGGGAATAAAAGGCTAGCAAGTAAACCACCAACTCACAGTTCTTTAAAATTTGTTTTTTTTTTCCTGATATGATTTTATTAAAATTTTAAAGGAAAAAGTAGAAGTATTGACTTCTACAATAAATAGAGAAATTTGTAATGGTAATGGTCTTCCATTTATGTAGCGCATACTACAGAATGTCTCTATGCGCTCTCAAACCCAATGTCAAGACAAAAAAAAAGAAAACAAGAACAAAATTATTAGAATTGTGAGATCATTATTCCTGAACCATGGAATTGAAAGGCTAGCAAGTAAAGCACCAATTTGATTTTTGATTCCAGAAATTTGATTCCAGAAATGTTTTTATTAAAGAGCTGTAGATTTATATTGTTTAATTTGTATGTCTTAATTAAAAATGAATATTTTTTAGTCACGATCAAGTTGATGAACAAGAAAAGGATAATGATGAAACAGAGACTATGCAGGTATAATAATACTGTATACTAATGAAAATGTGCACACACACACACACACACACACACACACACACCTACTGTAAACCGTCTTTCCTTAATGCTATAAATATATATAGATATATTTTTAACGTTAAGCCGGACACTTACCGCATCGTACGACCGTTGCACGATGAATCAAACTCTGCTCCCTGTGAGCGATAGACGACGCGACGCTGTCTGCTGATTTTCGGTGGTCGTCTGAACGGATCGTCATTAAAAACGATCAATTGCGCGCTCGCAGTCGCGTTGCCTTCTTCATATAACCTCGTCGACCGTCGGGAGCAGTAAGTGCCTGGCTTCAAAGAAGTGGAATCTGTGAACATCTTTGTTGTTTTTATTTATTTGTTTTCAAGTTTAATTCATTTTCCTTTGTTATTTACTGCATTTAGAATTTTTAGTTTTAAGTTTTGTTTACTTCGTATTATATATATTTACTTTGAATTGATAAGGGTCACTAAGGTGATTGACATGGCCATTTCGTCCGTCATTTCGCTTTATTGAGGCATCATTTCATATAATACTTTGATGTGGGTGGAAACTTTGTTTTCTTTAGTGAATGCTTGAGTGACTTTTACTCAATATTGTTTTTGTTTTAAAGTTTTAGCTAGGGTATGCACTGCATAACATGCTTGTTTTGACCATCCGCCAATGCCAACATCATGCATGCAAATTGGCTTTCCCGTATGTGAACATTGGGGCCTATATTTTCTGGGTTCATTTTTTCAAATTTTTATTTTTAGCATTATTTTTACAAATTTATGATAGTCGACAATAATTTTATGTATACAGTATTATCATGATTTTACCACAGTGCAGCAACAGTGCAAAATTATAGCAGATAGATTGTAGATACTAGATCTAACAGATGTTTTGACTATTTTACATTTTTTTAACCAGCCTACAAATTGTACTATATCAAATGGAACAATCCGCCTGAAGCTTACAACAGACTTTGCGGAGTCAGGAGAGAAATACGTATGTACCATACATAGACATGGATATCAATGTTTTCAATGTACGTTATCCCATTATTTTATTAAAACTTTATTATTATTTTTATTATTATAGCTTATATATTTTATCATCATCATCATCATCATTATTATCATCATCACCATTTCCGTTGCCAGTGCCACAGCTACCTTACCGTCACCATCATCAATAGTGAGCTTTCGCATCAACGACAAACGGACTCAAGGACGGTAATCTGACACGAAAATCGATCTGCGCATGCACAACCCCCGCAGCTTCTCGTTCTTGGCAAAATCACAAACTGTTTTTAGCCAATTTATCGTCCGTGGAGAATCACGAACAACTAGCTCAAGCAGCCAATCAGCGCTCTTTAGGGATACCAAGCAGCCAATAAGCGCTCTTTAGGATACCTAAAAAAGAGGGCGTGTGTCAGCTTAATGATGTCATGCAATACCGTTCGTTTTTCGATTGCGAAACTGCGAATGATCAGAACGCAGACGAGTATCAAGGACGGTCACAGTTCATTTCTTTTAGTCCTAAAAGGACAAATTACAAGTTTGTACTACAATCGCAGTGGAAAAGTCAAGTGGCACAGTGCAAAACTAAAGTGGCACAGTGCAAAACTAATATGGTGGCACACGCATTTTGAGTTTGCACTGCGCCACTTTAGTTTTGCACTGCGCCACTTGACTTGCACTGCACCACTTGACTTTTGTACTGCACCACTTGACTTTTGTACTGTGGCCGCTTGACTTTTGGCGATATTGTATGGAACGCCAATTTGGCATTAAAATGAAAATTAACTAATTTTTACTAGGTAGGCCTATATTATTATTATTATTATTATTATTATTATTATTATTATTATTATTATTATTATTATTATTATTATTATTATTATTATCCCCCAATAGGGAACCGCGGCCCCCGTCGAGTAAATTCTTGTGGCACCCCCCAAACTATATTTGGGCAAAGATAAACTAAAACAATAATTACTACACATTCGCAAAAGTATAGTGTAGCCCAAGAGAATGAATTTTTCTTTCTTTATTGAATGTTCTTCTGGAAATTAAATCCCACTTTAGTAGTATGTTCTATCTCCTTTTTAAAACACCATTTACACATGTAATTAATTAGGATCCAATTCCTCAATCATCTACATCAACAATTGGATACTGAAATACACAGGTTTAATATTTAATACTAATGAATTTAATGAGGATGTGATATTATGAGTGTTGGTACAGTACCGTACGTATAGTCTTGTGTCCCTTCACCTTGCTTATTAAATGTCTATGTCTATAGAATAAACTTGATATTTTTGATGACGGAATACCGTACGTCTTGTATTTTTCTGTATTCTTATTTTTATTTATTTATTTATTTATTTATTGCCATTTTTCTGCCGTTTTGATAGGCCTACCTTTAAACCCATACGTAACAGCCTTGTTGCTGCTATGTATGTTTGTTGTGAAGAACATTGAAGTTTGAATAAATATAGCTCAAATAATAAAGTGTTAAAAAACGCACCCACAAAGTATATCGTTGCAGCAAAGTGTCACTGCACCGTGAGCCTAAATCAAGCCTGTTTATGTTTTCAACTTCTTTGGAATTATTGGGCTTCTTTTTCTATTAAAATACTGTTACGTTCGATTTATTTTTCTATCAATATTCATTTTTGGGCCTCTACTTGTTTTCTTTACATTTACATGTTGTTATATGTATTACATGCCAATACATACTTATTATACGCACACACGCCAATATATTACTGTGGCCTTTAATAATAATATAATGATAATAATAATAATAATAATATTGAAAAATTTTTGTAAAATTCAACCGCGGTTGATTGTAATTAACGATAACAATTAAAGTACAGTTGTAATAACTTATAGGCCTACAGGTAAATTACGCTACATAAGAATGAACTATTATTATTATTATTATTATTATTATTATTATTATTATTATTATTATTATCATTATCATTATATTATTATTAAAGGCCACAGTAATATATGAATAATTAAAATGCCTAAACAGTATTTATTTTTCAATATATAAATATCAGAAATCGCTGTCGCACAATAAGACCACAATAAAATTAATATCATATTATTCATTTAAATATTGAAATTGTATTTATGAAAGATGTTTAAAAAAATCTTTAAAACCGTATAGTTTACATTCTGTCAAAATGTAAACAGAAAAAAGAGGAAGAAATCTACTTGAGTCAAAAAACAAATCTGTGTCCTTTAATTTTTTGATTTGCCAAAAAATTATTACTGTATGTATTATTGGTCTAATTAATAAATTTAAATGCTGAAAATGTAATCTGAGCTGTAATAATACAATGTGAAAATGCATGTTACTGAATCGATCTTCCTAACTAGCTACCCAGTCGGTTGCGTCGACCCTAGCATAGCCTAACTATAAGTAGTCTACCCCGACTAGCCTAGCAATGATGTAGAAACAAAACGCAACAGATTTTTTTTTTTTCAAACTTACGCTGATATCACTCGAAAGGTCACTCTTTCTTAATCGGAAATTACGCCGGAGGCTTTTTATGGTGCTTACGCTTACCTCCATTTCTTCAGCAATTTGTTTATTTGTATAACCCATCACTACCAAAGCTTCTAATCTGTCTCTAGTTGCCATGGCTGACAACTATGCTATAGGCCTTTATTAGCGGTAGTAACGATGAATAGAATAGATAAGCCTAGGCTACGGTATCTACGACAAGTATGCCTATGATCATAACGTTCTTATTTGTGTTTTAGTCCCAAATTTTTGTGCTGTTGTTGTTTTGCTGTGAAATTATTAAGAAAAATTGAATTATGTGTTCTTGATTTTTTTATTCATTTATTTTATTTAGTTTAATTTCGATGCCAAAATTGGCGTTCCATACAATATCACCTAAAGTCAAGTGGCGCAGTGCAAAATTCAAGTGGCGCAGTGCAGAAGTCAAGTGGCGCAGTGCAGAAGTCAAGTGGCACAGTGCAAAATTCAAGTAGCAGCACATGCATTTGGATTTGCACTGCGCCACTTTAGTTTTGCACTGCGCCACTTTCGTTTTGCACTGCAATTGTTGTTTGTCCTTTTCGCGATATCACGCCAAAAGGACAAACTACAATCGCAGTGCAAAAGTCAAGTGGCACAGTGCAAAACTAAAGTGGCGCAGTGCAAAATTCAAGTAGCAGCACACGCATTTGGATTTGCACTGTGCCACTTTAGTTTTGCACTGTGCCACTTGACTTTTGCACTGCGCCACTTGTAAATTGTCCTTTTGGCGTTCCATATAGAGGACGTCCGTGCTGCATTTGCGAAAGCTCACTATTATCATCATTCACAATGGTGCGCCTCAAGAGGGCGTTCGGCCAGATAAGTTAACACTGCTGTGTAATAACACCATTGTGTAATACAATGTTCTCGACTGATATTTGGACCTGTTCAACCATGAAGCCTTCGTGGTCTAGTGGTTATGGCGCTCGCCTTGTCAGTGAGAGGTCGCAGGTTCGAATCCCGTCAGAGGAATTTTATTACACAATGACTTTTATAGGACTTTATTCGTTGAAAAGCTACAGGGTAGCCTACGATGTTCCATCATGTCGTTATTAAACACTGTATAATGTACCTTTGATGATTTATATTATATATAAATATAGCACTTCAATAGTTCAGTTCTTTCATTTAATTGTAGTCTGAAGATGTTAATATTTTTTTATTAATTTATTAAAGTATGTATATTATGCATATAATTATAGAAGTGTATATTTAGCAACCCTCACCTAATTTGTATGTTTTATTATGTTAAAAGGGCCAGATGCCTATTTATTGAATGTGCCTTCAGACACAGAATGACACAATGAGACTGTCTTTTGGACAACAACATATTTATTGTCGTTTGCTTCTTTCTCTTAGTTGAAGCGAGTGATATTGAAGAAGCAACCTGTGGTGAGGATGTTAAGTTGAAATTTGAATGTGTTGGACAGTCACCTGTCTTGGAGAAAGTTGATGGAACATACGTTCGTCTAAATCCTGAACCACGTAATACTGATAAGGATGATTGCTTTTTCAAAATCTCTAAATGTACATCAAAAGATGCTGGAAAATATTGGTGCAGTTCTTATAAAGATAAAAGGAGAATCATAATGGAAAAAGTGCTCAAAGGTAAAATACACTGACACTTCAATTGATGGGTTGCTATGATTTTGTTTCTGATTTTATCTTTTAAGAACTATTTCATTGCATAAATGCCAAACGAAATATTGACGGCAATTTTCAGCATTTTCATTATGATTATGTTGTTCAAGAGAAAATTTTTGCTCATTAGTGGACATTGCTTGACCACTAGATTAAGCTATGCTCAGCTCATTTTATCCAGGATTATTAAAACTACAACATGATGATTCCATGATTTTAAAATATGATGCAGTACCATCACAAACCTGATGACAGGTTGCGAAAATAAACTAAGGAAACTTTCTTCTAGATATAGGCTCTAAACTGATAATGGTTTCATTGGTTTTACATTTGTAAAGTACAAAAATATGCTACAGAAACAAGTGTACAGATGTATGGAAATAGGAAAATTCTTAAAATTAATTACTAACAAAATATAAAGGGACCATGCAAAGATGTAAAGAAATAAATATACGAACATGATGATTCCATGATTTTAAAATATGATGAGCATAGCTTAATCTAGTGGTCATGCAATGTCCACTAATGAGCAAAAAATTTTCTCTTGAACAACATAATCATAATGAATTATGATTCATTATTTTAATTATATTTTTTTGCTTAGCTCAGTCGGCTAATCTGGTGGTAGCCACTGTGTGTGCGCTGAACCGTGGAGATCTCTAGGTCCTTGGTTTAATTCCCATCGCTGCCTCTCCTTGTGTTTCAGCTAGAGGGCTGAAATACAAGTTACAATAGCGCACCGTCTTTCGGATGAGACGTTTAAGCCGTTGGTCCCGCATGCATTATGGCCCATGTGCACGTTAAAGAACGCAGTACACTCTTCGGAAAAGAGTAGGGGATTGTCTCCCGGTGTACTGCCCAATCACCACCAGAAGGACCCCACTGGAAATAAGTCTTCTTCTAGACTTTCATGGGCTTTCCTTGGTGTTTACACCGAATAAATTCAATCAATCAATCAATCAGAAAGGTATTATTTGCTTTCTTTTAATTGACGGGGAAATGATTTATTAAATTATAATTTATAGATAAAAAATATGTTTGAAATTATTTTTAGCTCCTGACAGACAGTGCATTTTTAAGATAAGATAAGAATGAACATTTTAATTGCTCAATTTGTATATAAATAAGTTATTATCTTAAAATTAACCATTTCAATGAGAAAAACATTCTCGCTTTAATTTTTGAGACAGTTAAATGATAACTTCCTATATTTATTTTCATTTGTTTGCTTCTTTCTCTTAGTTAAAGTGAATAATATTGTAGTAGCAACCTGTGGTGATAATGTTGAGTTGAAATGGGAATGTGGAGGACGGTCATCAGAACATGTTTTGAAGAAAGTTGCTGAAAAATACAATAGTCTAAAATTAAAACCTAATTTATCTTTAAATACTGATGGGGATAATTGGTTTTTCAAAATCCCTACTTGTACATCAAAAGATGCTGGAATATATCAGTGCAGTTTTTATAAAGATGGAAAGAAAATCATAATTGAAAAAATTCTCAAAGGTAAAATGGCTATTTTCAGC